GGAGCCGGGGGAGGGTGGCGGGGAGGGAAGCTGCTCTGAAAGCTCCTGCTGCCAGCATGAACGCTGTTAAACTTGTGGCATCTCCTGGCTGGGCATGGAGGGAGGAGAACGGCTCCCCCCCCCCCCCCCCCGCCCGGGGGGGGGGGGGGCCTTCGGGGCCGGCCGCTGGCCCCGTCCCCCGCCCCCTCCCCAGGTGCCACAGGGCGGAGGCGGCCGCCGCTCCCAGCGTGGCCCAGATTCCCAACAAGGAGGAAACTGGGACGCTGGCGGGGCCGGGGGGACCAGGAACCGCGGCCACCGTGTGCCAGGTGCCAGCTGTGCGCAGCGCAGGCTGGCAGCCAGCCCCGGTCCTGCCGCCCACGCCAGGGCGGTCGGGGACCCTCGCTGGAGCCCCCGGGATGGCTGGGGACCCGTGCCCGAGCCCCCGGGGTGGCCAAGGACCCTCGCTGGAGCCCTCGGGGTGGCCGGGGACCCTCGCCGGAGCCCCCCGCCGGAGCCCCCCGCCAGCCCTGCGCTCACCAGCCGCTCCGACATGGGGGTCTTGTCCTCGTCGGGCAGGTGCTGCTCCAGCGCCAGGACGATGCAGTTCGCGATGATGGTGGCTAAAATCATGTATTCAAAAGGAGTGCGGCCGAGTCAAGGAAAACCCGGCTGGGCCGAGCCCGCAGGGGCCTGGCGTCCTCCAACCAGGCTGGTTGGGGAAACCGAGGCAGGAGAGAGGCCGGTGGGGTGCCCAAAGGAAGGGGGGTTCAGCGTCGGTGGCGGTTGGCAGCAGGGACGCGGGGCCTGGCTGCCACCAGTTCCCACGTGCTCCGCGGCTCATTAATTTCCCCATCAAAGGCGCGACCCGGTGGCCCCGGCTCCTCGGCACGAAGCCTCTCGCCTGGCGGGAGCTGGCGGTGATCAAAGCGCCTCGGCAACAGCGGGACCCGGGGAGACCTACACGGCACCCGCCCGGCCCCGCCGGCTCCAAGCAAGGATGCCGTCCTCGTGCGCTGCTGCCACTGGGACCCGTGCGCGCTTTGGGGTCTGCGTTCGGTGAGCGCAGCCCCATCCCGGCCAGCGGTGCCGGGGTGCGGTGGCAGCAGTGTGCCCGTACCCTGCCCCATGGCTCCGGCACTGCGGGTGCAGGTGGCAGGCGCTGCCGGGTGGTGGTGGCGGTTATGGCCGCACAGGGGCTGGTGCAGGCTGGGGGGGGTCGAGACCCCCCATCCTGCAGCCCTGGGGCAAGTCTGGCTATCCGGCACGGCTATCCGGCATGGCGCAGCTCTCCGGCTAGGCTATCCCGCATG